AAATGAAGACAGAGTGTGTATGAACTAGAGAAAAGAATGGAGGATGGGGTAAGTAAACAGACTCCATTTTTAATGATTCAAAGTTTGAGACCCCCCGTTTAAGGAAAGTTTAAAACAAGAATACAAGATTATAGCAATAAAGGCAACAAATCCAACTGATTAATGGATTACGGGCTTGTTTGGTATAACTTGTAAGAAGGACGTTTTTAATTCAAAAGCACAAACTGCACCAAACATTACAACTTGTGAAATATGCTCTAACTTCTCATAAGCTAGTCTTTTCTCTATTTCATTGCAAACCTCAAAAGCACCGAATTGATACTTCTGCAGGAGCTTCTGATTTGAGTTTTAATAAAATTAAAAACAGTACTTCTACAATAGTTTATTTCCAATAGAATTTTTATTAAAAGCTCCAGCCACACCAAACAGACACTACTACATAACAAATGGGAACGATTTTCTTTTCTTTTCTTTTCTTCTTCCTTTCTCCAGTAGATGGGGAAGATGGATCTACATGTTCCAACTGCAATATGAGACATTTTAGAATTCCTCAAAGGCATATATATACAATATAATAATAGCATACAAAATCACCAAAATTTACCGATACCTGTAATCCTTGGAGTGCAAGTCTAGATCAGGTCCCCACCACTGGTGAATGCCATGGGCATTCTTGCAATCCTTAGTAGGAGTTTCATTAACTGTCAGATTTGCTGAAGGAATCAAGTGGACAGGCTCTGCAGCTTCTTTATCCTTCCCCACAGCACTCTTTAGTAGACCTCTAAATGAATGTTGTGTTGCTAAATTCTCAATACATCCAGCTCCAATCTTCTCCATCTTTCCCCTACGCTCAAAATAACCAATATATTCAGAGCATATGAGGTCGGCTGGATTGACAAATAGATAAGGCGACCATGCAGACAAAGCAGCAAATGGATCCTCAGACACATTCCCCTGGTTCTGATTCTTTGCCTTCAAAACAAGAGCTAGTCCTGCTGTGAAAACACTGTGTGTAATTCGCATCCCACGCCTCAAAAATTTATTTTTGATACTCTCAATTGGGGCAGAAACAAAAGGTGGATTGAAGAGGAATGATTCTAAAAATTTGCCTGTTTTGGCCATAGTCTTTCCAGCCAGCATTGCCATGGCTGCCCCTAAGGAATGTCCAGCCAACCAGACATTTGAATCACCAACAGCAGCTACCTTA